CGTAAGTTGAAAATATAGTCTTTTCTCATTTAGAGGAGAGTCTCATTTGCTGCTCTAACGCAGAAGTGATTACTTCATTATGAATTGCATATTTGTGTTAGATATAACTGTTATTGAATAACCATATATGGAAATTCCAGAATGGAAGAGCGTTACTAGATGCAAAACTTAAGGAAAATGGAATTATTAAAATTATAAGTTTCAGTTAATTTTATTGATGAACAATTAAGGATTTTCCATAAGTAATTGGCCAGGGACAATGTTGAAAGTGTACCTTTGGAAAATCCTCACTTCCTATTTATTGCTGTATGTACTCGTAGCTGAGTTACATGAAATCACCGCGTGTGTAGTGAACAAACTGAAATTTCTATTATCCAAACAAATTCAAATTTCTAAAAATTCATGATTTCTTTGACATATTCATAATATACTAGCTGACCCTACAAACTTCATACTGATATAAAAGTAATAAATGATGTGTCAAGTTATCAGCTGAGTTAAAATAACTTTTTTCATGAAGTCCGGCCATACTAAAACGGCCAGTGTTGTCATATCATTGTCATGCAGTAGTGAATTGGTACAGAAAATAAATGAAGATATATTTTATAGATACATATTTCATTAGTGTTGATTTTTACTATTAACTGTCATATCATAATCATATAAAAAAGTGAACTCAGTCAGTGGTAGATTTTTAACACCCAAACAGTAGCACACTGTTCATATATTCGAACATCGTGTCTTAAATAGAAAATTGTTTCTTCAAACAAATGTTCTTGTTGAAATTTCTCATTATTCAAGTAATGAACAACAAATTCATTGCCGCACTAGAAGTCCAGTAATGCGTTTGTGCAGTCCACACTGGGTGTCACCCAAAAGGATGATTGAATTTCGAAAACAAATTTCAAACATTGAGATTCGGAGATTCTTGCTCAAGCAGCCCATCCCAATGTATAATTCGAGAAATTCCCCAAAACGTATGACACTGTCGTGTGGAATTCCCCATCCCATAGTCGCGGAATATCCTTGACATCTCAAATGCTTTTTTTTTTCATTTCTTACGTGAAGTAAGTTAGGTCGACATGAATTGATAAACGTGTAGTGACAACAAAGGAACACAATACTTAATAAACCTGAATATTGTTATTTGTGAAGGTTAAAAGGATTGAGATAAAGGTAAGATTTTATTATGGATATCCGAAATATTTAAGTAGTACTCCTACAGACGAAACGTACAGTACTATTACTGTATTTTAACGTTATAATTTACACCAACATACATGGTATCGTCAAAATCAAAAGGAGAAATAGCATAACAAAACTATACCCACAGCAAAAATGGGTAAATATTCGTTTTGAGGGCACCCGGCGATTTTGAAAAAATTTTTGAGTGTACTCACGTATTTTGATGCGTAGATTACGAATCCGAAAGAAAAAAGCGGCGCTCCCCCTCATTTACAAAGTTACAGCCCTTCAAAGTTCAGAAAAGGGCAACTTTCTGCCTTGTTTTTCACAAGATAAACTATTTAAAAACACAAATATTTATTCACTAGGTCACCTTTACACCTTACTCCTCCTCAATTGACACTTTTTCATTAAACAATCAACATTTTTCTTATAAAAAACCTAATTTTGAAACGAATGCTTCTTCTGGTGATATTCTTCTATTTCTAGGTTAGTTACTAGTGACATTTCAGAAAAAAGCGGTTGGTATTTGCTGCCGCCTACTATTTCAAATTCGTAGATACCTCACCAAAAACCGTTTAGGGTCTAAAGAATGAACGCAAAAACATTTGAATTACTTTAGGAATATTAACTGCATCAGTAGTACCAACTTTGCCGTTAACCTTAAAAACGTAAAATACAGACATATATAACCAAAAAGCAGCTCCGTACATTTTTTAACATTTTTATTGAAATGTTGATTGTTGAAGTGAAAAGTGTCACGGAAATAGGAATAAGGTGTAAAGGTGACCTAGTGAATAAATGATTGTGTTTCTAAATAGTTCATATTGTGAAAAAGAAGGTTAAAATGTTGCCCTTTTCTGAAATTTGAAGGGCCGTAACTTTGTGAATAAGGAAGAGCGCCGCTTTTTTTTCGCCGCTTTCGGATTCGTAATCTACGTATCAAAATACGTAAGTTTACTAAAAAATTTCGATAATCTTCAAGAGAAAGTTTAATCTTCCTCTTGAAGATGATCACTTAGTGATCGAAACACGTGTCGAGGTGTTGAAAATAACGATTTGGTGTTGTCGGGTGTCTTGTTTTTAGGCGAGTTTGGATCTGAATCCCTGAAAAGAAAATCTGTATGTTGGTGTGAGGCGCGGCCGAGATTTCTCTCGCCGCCTGGGGTACCCCTCTTGGCGGGATAATTTCCTGGTGAATAGCGTTCTTCATGTGGCCTCGAGATTATGATAATCTCACTCCGTGACGAGGCCTTTGAGGCGTTTAGTTTATCTTGACAGTGGGAGTGTTGACCGTCAGCAAGGTTTGTGAAACGTGAAAGTTCATCAGTAGGATCTGTAGCTGGTCGAAAGCCGTGCATAGACCGTCGACCGAGGTGGGATCACTGCTTTTTGTGGGGATCACGGTCCTCGCATATGAGATTCCATTTCTTGACGGCCTTTTTGGTTGGGCTGACAGGTCTCTAGGTTTGGTATTGGCCTTTTTGTTTTTGGGATGTTCTGGGCATCCTTGGTATTTTGCTGGGTGATCTCTTTTACAGTTGAAGCATTTCACCAGGGATTGCTTCGGCTATTTACATTCGGTCGTCAGGTGGCGGCCAGCACATCTTAAACACGCTGAACTGCTTTGCAGTTTTTCGGTAGTATTGCCCCATTGTCGTTCGTGGTCTTTTTGGTTCGCTTTTTACTCTCACATTCAAGATCTCCCTGACCTCGTATATGTGGCTCTGTTTTCTAGTAACGAGGACCAGTACAAGCGTGTGGCTTTTCGTTGTGATTTTTCAGCTTGGCTATCGATATAATATCTAAGCCCTTGGCTTTCCAATCTTCTCTGATTTCTTCAATTTCGAGTAATTCAGGTACTCCTCGAAACACCACTCTTGAGGGCTTTACTTCTTGTATCGTATATGTATGATGCGGGATCTTTTCTTTGTCCAGTATTCTGAAATTGTCCGCCCTGTACCTGTGTTTTCGTCTCATTATTTCCATTTGATTTTTGTGGTTTCTTGATTGATACAATTTTCATTATTATTATGTTTTTGGTGTAGTTTCAGTAAGTTTCTATATATGTTGCTTGCTGACATTATCAATGCCAGTTTTCTTATTCATACAATCAGAAGACTTGTTGATTTCGACCATTTCAAGAAAAATACGTTTGGAAATATTTTTTCTGTACGTGAAACTTTGATAAAAATTTGGTTAATGTCCTGTTTCTGGAGAGTGTTGTGTTGATGTACATGATTTCCTACTGAGTTTTATATCACTTCTATGTGATGTTATTCTATCAATAAGAATTTTACATGTTCCAATTAAATTCAAATTACAATTGCTACAAGGAATTTTATGAATTACATTTGACTTTTTGTAGTATCCGTTTTATCTTTCAGTTAAGTAATAAGTTTTTAATAGTGTCAATATTTTGTTGACAATTTTGATATTTTGTTCATTATGGAAAAATTTTCAAAATCACGTAAAGATTCGTAAAAAAATTATAGATGAATTATCATTACATAAGTTTATGTTGATTATATCAGAATTTGTATTATTGCTAGTATAGAAAATTATTGAATCGAGACGTTTTCTGGGATGAAAATTGTCGATCAAACATAGAATTGAAATGATTTTCATTACTTTTTCATCGAAAGAATAGTTACTGATATATCTTCCTAAACTAGTAAGTTTGATATACCAATCTGTTACCAAGGAATTATCAATTCTATGGATAACTCTTGTATCAATAGTGAATTATAGTTTTTGATTATATCTATTAACAAAACAAAAAAATTCATGAGATTTGTCATACAGCATTGCAAAAACGGCATCGGCAACTCATTTGTTTAAAAAATTAATTACAAAACTCAGTTTAGGAAGTGTATTGTCAAAAACATCGTCCGTTACGTATTATACTCACCTTCAAACGAGAAATAACTTGAGTTGAAAATAAAATTAATCATTTCAATAATTTTATAATTTTTTTCATTATTTCAGTTATATTATTGAAACATGAAATGATATGAATGAAAAATGTTCAATAAACCACACAACATTTATTAAAAATTGAGAACTCTTTTTTTTTCTGCCCCGAGACATTATCGGCTATTTTTCAGAAACTTCATTGTGACAAGGTTACAAGGTACATGGTAAACAATTGTCAAGTTAGTGAAAAAAGTACTTACTCAAATATAATTGGACATTATTTCTAAAAATACACACCACTGTGTAATGACATGTCCAAGTCAACTGTCAATTGTTCTATCAAAAAATATAATGTGAAATATTATGTCAGAGGCATGGAATTTGAAGTTGATGCACGCGTCTCTCAGAATAACTACAAGTCAGAGGCATGGAATTAGAGGTTGATGCACGCGTCTCTCAGAATAACTACAAGTATGATATGAGTTGTAATGAACTTAGAAAAAAATATTCAATCAAAAAATGAATTGGTAACTGATCAATTGTCATGTCATGACTAGAAACATTTTCATCGGATGTGTTGATGTGTTGGGGCGTCCCGGGCGAGCGTCGTCATTTACATGAAGATGTGAATGACTTTCTTTCTTTCAAAAGTTTTTACCACTTGTGAACAATATTCAGGGCTAGTGAATATCTGAGATGTTAGCTGTAGAAACGAAGTATGCTTCATTTCGAAATAAAATTTGATATATGCTTTTTCAATTCTTTATTAATATGAACTATTCCGTGTTGAGTGCCAACTATATGTATAAAAGGCCACTACTCGTCTCCAAAAGATCAAACACTACATGTCAGCATCACTTCAAAATTATATTTTTCCATCAACATATGTTTTCCTTCAGAATCCTTGACGAAATATATGAAGAATAAGTGATTCTACTTCCGGTTATACTGAGGGTAGATGACATATTGAGATATCCACATCATCCAGAAGAAGTTGAAATGATAAAAATGAGCGTAACAGCAATGTTGGTCATACTAGCAGGTGAGATTTCATCAATTGTTATTTATGACTGACTGACTAATCCTTTTGAATAACAGAGAGTTATTTGAATACAATTTCTGCGTATTACTTTTCATTTTCATATCGACTTTTCTCCAAATGTTTTGAGATCTCTTGGATGGGGATCTCTTACTTGATCGTAGCCAGATTCAAGTAGCTCTTCAGAGTGGCTTTTCGAACATGAATGTACAGGATGGGGCACCCCATACGACACGGTCTCTGTAAACCAAAACATTGATTTTTCGGAAATTTCTCTGTTTCATTGTTTGTATATCGATTAAGGCTGCAAATTGAAACCATTTCGGGGACTACATGGTGGCTCAAAAAAGTGTTTTTATAAATGGAACACCCTGTATAAATGGGGTACTTTGTACCTAACTCTAATTATTCTGGAGTTATTGATATTTTTATGAAAATGCTAGGTACAATCGAAAACTGAATAAAATCGAAATGTATAGAAATCATCCCTTCGAATTCTGACGAAGCATGAGAAAGGTTTTGGGATACTGATTTCGATAAAACCTGTATCTCGATATCATATGGAATGTTTTAAAATCATTGTCAATTTGTCAGTGTGAAAAAACCAAATGGATTAAATTCATTTTTAAGTTACTGTACATATTTAAAAAAAAAAACTCCAAACACGTCAAATTTAAATTATAATTTAACATTCTTCGACGTGAAAATATCATCCCTACCTTCAATCACCTCCAAATGACAGGTACAACCCCCAATTTTTCAAATGTGAAGTATAGGTTTGTGATATGTCGTTTGAAAAGTCTCTTCATTTTCTATTCAAAAATGTAATTGCTTTCAAGTTTATTGCAACAATTAAGATAAAATGAATTAATATCATGTTGTTCCATGAAATACATTCTGAAACTGAAATGTAATGCAGAATGTAATGAAATGTAGAATACGAGAAAAAACCATGGATGTTAACGAAGATATTCAAAATGTTCACCGCAAACGTCTTGGCAACATCCTAATCTCAAATAAAACTATGTCTTCTAACATTATTCAACATATCAGGCGTGACCGACCTAATCGCAAGCGTTATTCGTTGTTTTGAATCATTCAAATTTGAAGGTTCTGTTTTGTACACATTGTTCTTTACATATCCCCATAATAGAAAATCTAATGATGAAAGATCAGATGATCGCGTTGGCCATTCAATCGATCTCCGCCTCCCTATCCTCAGATTCGGAAATGTTGTATCGATGTATTGCCGGACATTAACTTGGTAACGTTGTGGTGCTCCATCCTGCTAAAACCATATCGTATTCACTGGAACTTGAGGGTTTCCTGGATCAGGATATAAATTTGCTTGACTTGAAATGACATCATTTTGAAGTAGTGCCAAATAATTATCGCCCTCAATGAAAAAGTGACCAATAATGGTTTCTTACAATCCCTGCCCAAACAGTAACCTTTTGAGGGTATTGCGTGTATTCTTCTCTCATCCAGTGAGGATTTTTCGTTGACCAGTAGTGTCAATTTTGCCGATTAGCATGACCTCTAAGAGATAAAGTACACTCATCAGAAAACATAACGTCTCCTAATTGGATGATATTGTTATCCGAATCGATGTATGTGGGTTTTCCTCAAACTCAAGCATCACATCTAATTTGAGTTCATCACTCATTGCATTGGCAGCTGATTTTTCATCTGCCCCATATGACCAAACTCGCGAAACTGCTTCTCTATTTTGCTTATTGTTTCTTGAGATATGGGCGGTAAATCAGGCGAGCTACTTCCTGTTGTGTTCGGGTTTTATCTCCGTAACTAATCATTTGTAAAACTGTTATTTTATGCATTTCTGTTAATATAACCATTCGCCAGACTTGAAGTTAACGAACTTCAAACTTAAATTGAAATACTTACAACTAATGTTGTAAGGTAACATTTCAACTAACGTTGCCACGAAAATTATTTACAGTTTTTTACAGAATATTACTATAGTTTTTGCTTACTTTCTTACTATCAATACCTCAACATGATAAATGTTCTGAGTATATCGCAATAAGTTTTGAGTGTATTTTATCGAATTTTGGTAACCACATGATTTTGATTTATTTTGTCTTGATTGTTGCAATAAACTTGAAAGCGATAACATTTTTGAATGGAGAATGAAGAGACTTTTCAGACGATTTATCACAAGCCTATACTTCCCTTTTATAAAATTGGGGGTTGTACCTGTCATTCAACCAAGGGGTTGAAGGTAGGGGTAGCATTTTTCCGTTGAAGTATGTCAAATTATAATTTAAATTTGACGTGTTTTGGGATTTTGTTAAAATATGTACCTACCGTAACCGAAATAATGAATTTATTTCATTTGGCTTTTACACACTAGTAGTTCTTATTTCAATGCATTCTTCGATTCAAGATAGCTTTGAAACGACATTCATTCAACTTGTTGAGATGAATTGACAGTTATTATGTTTTAAGTTATTCAAATCATTCACTGAATTATTACCGTTGAAAATGAAAATTTATCCCATCCAAGGGCGGATAGATATGATTTTAGCGATTGGTGAGTATTCAAAGAATTGCCCTCTGGCATCGAGGGTGTATGCCCTAACATATCCAGACCGGATTCATCAAAAAAAGTTGGTTTTTAAACGATTGCTACATGAATTTTGTAGAACTGGAAATGTAGCTTATGAAAAGGCAAATAGACCAATCTTGGGAAATGTGGAAAGTTAATTTCTTATTATGAGATCAATCAGGAAACCCTCATACGAGTCAACATAAGATCGAGCATAAGACGGAGCATGTCTAGGAAAATATACGAAACAAATTCCACCCGTACCATATGCACTTCCGACGGGTCGAGTTTTGTTTATAGGTTCTGGACAAGTTTAGTGATGATGAACATTTATTGGATTCCATTGTATTTTCTGATGAATCTACTTTCCATAACAATGGCTCAGTAAACAGACACACCTATCATTCTTATAGTGATGTAAATCCTCATTTTTTCTGCACTCTGGATCATCAGAATAGATGGTCTGTTAACGTGTGGGTAGGAATTATAAGTACACAAGTTATAGGACCATACTTTTTTATGAAAACTTGAATGTTCAACAAGTTTTTAAATTTTCACGAGATGATCTCCCTGAGCTTCTGGAGAATGTCCCACTAAATATCAGATAATGGATGTGATTACAATTGGATGGAGCTTCCGCACATTAAAAATTCAGTGTCAGACAGTTTTTGAAAATGTGTTCTCGAGTAAATGGATTGGTAGGAGAGAACAACGTAATTGGCCAGCGAGATTACCAGATCCAACTTATTTCGATTTTTACTAACTTTCATAGGGAGAGTAGATCTTTGTATTCAACAGGATAGTCATTATTTTGAGCACCTACTTTGAATTAAATATTTGTGTTTCATATTTTGTTGCTGTTTCAGTTGAATAATAAAAAAAATTGTGAAGTCTGTTCAATGAGTTACTGTTAGAATGTAAATGATATCTTCATTTCAGTGAACAGTAAATATTTTTGATAAAGTGATAAAGTGAAATATAGCGACTGTCAATGGGAATTCTACGAGGAAACGATCATTTTGATTAAGTATAAGAAACCCTAAAATGAAAAATACAGAGTGTTTTATTTGAAATATCAAAGTTATCTCTGTCTGAAACCATAAAAAAGGACATATAATATTGAGAAACGAGTTTAATCGAAATCGAAATCCAAAAACAACTTTCATGTTAAGTTAGGTCTGAAGTGGAGGATCGAATAGACCCACTCACTTTAGACCTAACATCATTCCGATGTTATTTACTTTCCGATTGCATCTAGCATTTTTATTCAAAAATCAATAACTTGAGATCGATTAGGTACATCGATTTAGCCTTATTCGATTCAAATATAATAAAATGAAGAAATTCCCGAAAAAATTATTGATTTGGTTTGTCAAATGGGGTGCCCCACACTGTATCTGTTTAATCAGTTCATAGTGAAGATATTTTAGATTCATTATTGAAATGATTCCCAATTTTCAGGAAACCTATGGCTGTTGCTTCATTTTCTAGCTATTTATGATTCTCTGAAAATCATTTCGAAACAAGAAGACTATGTTGTTGCCGAAAAACTAAGTGTGCAGATATATGTTATTGGAGCATTGAAGGGATGTTTATTTTTTTGTGCTCTGGCTCATTATTTCGGAAGAAAAATTTCAATTGGCACCACCGGATTGCCGTTAGCAGTTGGATATTTACTATTATCGGTTGCTGAGAATATTGGAGTTATCTGTTGTGGAAGATTTTTAATGGGATTCTCATGGGGAGGAACTTTGGCCGTTCTACCCATCTATTTCGGAGAAATTGCCACTAAATCGTCCAGAGGAATTATATTAACAACAATAGTAGTCTCGCTTCAAATTGGCAGTATCTTAGGTATGAGTATAAACCAAATTGATATTAGTCCATTACTGAAATGTGTGGTACCTGGACTAGCGGTACTCTTTTCAATATTTTTTTTCATTTTTGGAACGGAGACACCTCATTACCACCTACTTAAAAACGACAAAATCATTTCAAAATCAGTTTTGGAAAACCTACGTAACACAACACAAAACGAAATTGAAAAAGAGTTTGAAGAAATGCAAGGAGACATTATTTATTCAGGAGAAGAAAAAGTGATGGCTTGTTTCAAAGCAAATGGTTGGGTGAAATCCGTCTTCGTTCTTTTGAGTCTCAATTTTCTTCAAAGTCTATCCATGGTGACCTTCATGAAAAATCTAACTATTAAAGTTTTCGACAGGACTGGTTTCAATCTCACTGTATCACAGATGCTCATGATTGTGGGTATGTATTAATGATTATTCACAGAGTTAGTAAGACATAATTTATAATTTTTGAAAAATATTGAGTGCCTCACAGTTCCCAATAGTTGTTCACGTACATATGTTGTAACATGCCTTCGTAGCTAAAAATAGATGCATGCATACATGCATTTTCAAGTAACAATTCATTGTCAGATTTCCACTGAACTGAAAAATTATAAATCTTCACAATATAGACCCGATTTCTAGAACGTATTCAACTACAACAGATGTTTGCTTGATTGGAGTGGTACTGAATTATAATGCAGTATATAGAAATTATCGACATCAATGAATAGAAATTACTAGTTAGTGAACAGTTTACAAAACAGGGGAATTATTGCTACTGATGATTCAATTAATTTCATTGAATTTGTTATAAAAAAAATCAACACTCAGTGTTACTATCTTCATTCGGGTTTGAAGGCCGTCGTAGTTTGGAACTGCATCCTACTGTTTCGCCGGTATAAGTGGCTGGCTTTTTCAGGGGTTTATTCATCTTGATGATTCACCGATATCTGGTGATTTTCAGTTCGTGGGTTGTATTTATGATGACTCAGGTAGTACGCCTCCCTTGTTGATGCCTTGTTATTGGCCGAAGTGTTATTAGCTCTCAATGACGTAACATTGCATTGCGCTATTGCACTTCAGCATCATTTGGTATGGAATCCCAAATTTGGTTGAGCTTTACCGCCTCCTCTTTTCTGTTTCAGTTTTCCGCATGTTTATGGATTTCTATGGCTTCCCATACAAGCTGACTGTGATATCCATGATGGGCGGCAAGTAGTTTCACAGCTTCAAACAGTATCGTGTGATTTGTCAATTCAACCTAATCTATATTTTCTCCGATGTTCATTCAGCCTTGTGCCTATGGATCTTTTGGTGGTATCAATATAAACTTTTTCGCAGGTGCATATACCCCCGCAGCTGATAGTGGATCTCTTTTGTCTTTCGCAGATCTGAGACTTTGTTTTATTTTCCTGGTGGGCTTGAACACTGTTTTTATTTAATGCTTCCCTAATATTTTTCCGATTCTGTCTGTAACCCTAGGGACGTACGGTAGAAATGCACGTGCAACCGTTTGAGTTTCCTCCCTATTTTGACTTGTGAGAGTCTTCAGTTTCATGGTCTTGTTGGTCATGGTCTCAATCTTAAAGTCACGTGAAAATTCTCCAATTTTTCTTGTAGCTATTCCGGTTCGCATATTCTACAGACAAGTTCCGTCAGTGTGTTGGTAATTCCCCGATTTTGACTTGGATGGTGGTTCGAAAGTGCATGCAGATATATCTGTCCGTATATATCTGTTTTCGGTACACTTTATGAGTCAGTCGTGTGCCACGCCTTTTGACCAATGCATCTAGAAAAGCTATCCATTGTTCCTGTTCAGTCTCCATGGTGAACTTGATGCTAAGCTGTTGAGCATTTATGTGGCCTAGAAATAGGTTCAATCTGACCCTCCCATGTCTCCCGATGACGAAGTCAAATGTCAAATGGTTGGTTCGAACTCGAAACCGTCGATCACCTTCTTCTCAAATTACTCCATGAAGAACTTTGCTATCACCGGGCTGAGTGGACTTCACATCGCTACGCCGTCTAATTGCTCATAGAAATCTCCTTGAAGAGTCCGACAATATCATTAGAAAACAGTCCTATCTATCTCAAAGAATCTTTCAGCGGGACGTTGGTGAACAAGGACACATCGTCGAAACTGACCAGAATATAACTTACCCCCAAGGTTATATTCTTGAGGTGTTGCCAGATTTCTTTTACAGACCCTTAATTCGAGAAGAATGTCAATTACATACAGACCTTTTATGAAATTATATCCCCTAGATGTAGGCTACAAGCTACATGATCTGGAAATTATTTTAGTTCGGGGAAAAAGACAATTAGTTTCGTTTTCATTTGCCCCCTGTTTTTATATGGTTGCCGTTTTCAAAGCAGTGAGATAGATCTGACAGAATTGATGGTTGCTTGTCGAACAGTAATATGGAAGTTTCTGACCAAAAACAAACTGTACATAGTTCATCCTCATTTCCATGGTGTCTTGTGGAAGAAAATTTCCGAGTTAAATTTTCGAAATGAACATTAGTGATGACTCATTACGGAGACGATGGCAAACAGCGATAAGACAATTTAAAAAAGCAAAAAGTTAAGGAAGGATGTAGAAGGACTCGAAAAACTTTGCACAGGTTATAAGATTTTTTTTGAAGATCAGTTACAACAGTGGTAGCGTTTTCATTTTGCAAACATTTTATTCACCAAATGAATCGCATACTGCCAAATTCAAAATATAATGGTGCATCACTCATTATGTATAACAATATGGAGTACCATTAAAAATAAGTGGTTGGGTTCTCGATAATGGTGGCGACATATCTCTATGATTTGTAATAGACCTCTTGATTGATTTTACAACGAGCTCATACAGGCTAATTTAGTTTTTTATTGAAAATTATGTATTATAAAAGTAAATCGTCTCCCAAGTATCCCATAAAAGTTTCCGGTTTATATGTCAAATAACAACTGAGCAAGAGCAATTGAAATTGTGAGANTTCCATAGGTACGAATGCCCTATTTCGAGCATAGGAAAGCACACGTAGTCAGCCATATATTTTACGTGGATATGATCTCGTATAAGTTCATGGAATAAAATAAAGTCTGCTGAATAATTTTCAATGAGACATTTTTCAATTCATTTATTTTATATAATTTATATTTTTGTTTATAAAATGGCACTTTGAATTGTTGAACGTTTCACTGAATGTATTTTCAAATATATCTGTTATACAATATCTGAATACAATGTGTGGGCTGTATTGTTTGAATAATAAATTTGTGCAACACCTTGTCTATCATTCAATATGTGAAATCTTCGGATATACACGACATATTGCATGTACTCCATCGTTCACTCATGAACAATTGTAACAAAAATATAAACTGTTTGTAGATATGATGCAAAAAGTAACATCATGAAAAATAATAGTCAACGATGCCCTCCCGCGTCTGCCCGCGTTTTGGGCGTTTTGGGCGTTTTGGGCGTTTTGGGCAATTATCTGCTAAAGCACATATTCAATGATAGATATCAATAGGTTTCATATGTTGATGGTGATCTGGAAACATTGTTGGATTAGGGACACCGAAACCAAGTAAACTCCAATGCTCTAAGAAGATGAATGTAGCGGATTTGTTCATCATATCAGAGCACTATTCTGTCGATTTATTTGTTGGGTGTGAAATTGGCTGAGGCTGCTAGATTCTATGGAGAGAGGAGCATCTATTCGATTGGAGACTCAAACATCACAAGAAAACTCAATGAAGGAAGATTGGCGATTTGTCTCTTTCCTATACTACCTTTACGGAAATGCAACATATCTCTAACTACACTTTTTTAAAACTCTTTCATCTGAAAGTTTTGTATGGAAATGGTGAATTTTTTGAGAAACAGAGAAACTCTTTTTTGCAGATCTTATCAATTTCAAATGAATACATGTGCTGGCAATTACAAAATACAGTTATATATGTAAGAATTGAACCATATTAATGAAAATGCTTTTCACTGCAGTATGAATGATGAAATAGTGCTTTTAATAAATGGTTTTTGTCAGTTCAACAGTGCTATTCATTTCCTCAGTTTTTATTCAGTCGGAACTCTTTTTTATCTATTTTGTGTTTTATTCAACGTACAACCGTTTTCCTATGAAACTTTACCTGAATAAATTGATATATTGCAACTCTTATGAAAAAATAAAATATATATNATTCTCCCAGGAGCGCACATCGCTATCGGGTGGAATTCCCTATCCCATAGTCGCGGTATATCCTTGATATCTCAGTTGCATCATTTCTCATTTCTTTCGTTGAGTATGTTTGGTCAACATGAATTGATGAACGTGTAGTGGTAAAACAGAAACACAATAATATTTCAGAAACCTAAATTACTGAATATGTAAGATTTTCATTCTGTATATTTGAAATATTTCAGTAATACTTCTACAGACGAAACCTACAAGTTGAATTTGTAATATAACGTAATAATGTAATCACCAATGGAGAACATATTCCAAACCATTTGATGAACAAAATAGTATCTTAGCAATTTTTGACGCACCTATCGTATAACATCATGAAACATGATATACCTGAAATCTTGCAAATTTTTATTATTTCATCCCGTTGAGTCAATCAGGCAGGCAATAAATGATTGTACTTCAGGTCTGAGCAGGTTTTTTCTGAGGACATTGGCAATAACTTTCATAATACCCAGCCAAACAGAATCGTATTTTTGAGGTTTCGATTATTTTTTTATAAAAAATTATCCAAACCTCATAATGGACGAAGGGCATTATTCAAAATTATCTTCTAAATTGATTGATAACTGCTACAAACTGAGTAGAGAAAATGTTTTTTGTATAAGTATCAATAATTAATATTTATTTTGTTCATATAAAATTATTTGTTTCGAAAGAATTTTTCTTCGCGAAATTCAATGTTTATTGGAACTAGCCATTTCAGGAGGGCTTTTTTTCCAGTTTGTGTCTGAAAGTTACTTCTTTGGATGATCTACACATCCATGTATAGAGTTACTTTTTGAATTTTTTACTTCTTTCCTTTCTTCGAAAGATTCCCACATTTTTTGTTTCTAGATGGAGAGGTAAAAAACCAAAAACATTCTCTCCCAGAAAAATTATGACTTCTTCGAAGTCTCCTTGAAATTTAACCAAATTCAATTTCCTGAAAATTACGTTTTAGCAAGTTTGGATGTGGTCTCACTATTCAGCAACGACTATCTCGAATATTTGCCTGAGGGCAATTGGTATCGCATTGATATTTTTATAATATTCATGTAAATGAATTCAAACTTCTCTCAACCTTTCTTTTTGATAACCCATACTTTTTTTTCAATACAAACAAACTTTTGGAACCCCAATGGGAGCAACAAAATCAGCCCTATTTTGGCAAATTATATTGTGGATATGAACTAGTAGATATTGTATCAAGTGTTCTCCCTTCCCAAGTTTTTTTCATGAAAAAATATGAAGATGATACCACCGTATCCCTTCCTGCTACTGAAATTAATTTAATTGTTGAAATATTCAACAGCTTCAATCTACAGATATAGTTCACCATCAAAAAATAAGACGATTAGCGTAGTTTTTCCTTTCTGGATACCAAATCCTCACGTACTTCAGATAACATCGTATTTGATGACTGGTACAGAAAACCTATCTGGCAGATATATTAGTTACTGGTCTTATCATGAACAATCAATCAAACGCATATTAAACATTTCTTACTTTTCCTTTCATCAAAAAAAATGTAAATATCTTTCTTGAACATTTTCTACAAAATTCATATGAAAAATCTGGATGAACAAGATAGCATTCAATATGACTCATACACGTATAGAAGATAAACTCTACCAAATTTGAAAATGATAATAATAATAATAATAACATAAGCAGGGATGGCCACTAACACCCTTGGCCTTTGGTGAGTTGCGACACCACTTACCCGAGCAACTGGTGCAAAACCGGACCGGCAGCCCAGGCGCACCCGGGAAGGAGAACTCTATTCTCCCTCCGGTGCCGGCCGTGGGTCCACAGGGCTAACCACCCGGTGGACCCAACACTTGGTTCCCAA